GTGTTGATAAATGTCTGTATCTTTTTGGTGGTGGTTACAGTGGTCCTCCATGTTTCAGAGCCATAGAGCAGCACTGACTTCACTTTTGTGTTAAACACCCTGATCTTTGTTTTGATGGACAAGTCTCTTGAACTCCAGATATTCTTTAGTTAGAGAAAAGCTGTCCTGGCCTTGCCAATCCTTGCTTTCACATCGGCGTCAGTTCCACCCTGTTTATTTACGATGCTGCCAAGGTATGTGAAGTCGTCTACCTCCTCTAGCGGTTCTCCTTCCAGCACTATGGGTGATGTGTTGGTAGTGTTGACCTTCAGGACCTTGCTCTTCCCTTTGTGGATGTTGAGGCTAAGGTGAGTGGAGTTTTCTGCCACAATGCTGGTCTTTTCCTGCATCTGCTGCTGGGTGTGGGAAAGAAGGGCCAAGTCGTCCGCAAAGTCAAGGTCGTCCAGTTGGTTCAATAGAGTCCCCTGGATGCCGTTTCGCTTTTCCGCTGTGGATGTTTTCATGACCCAATCAATGGCCAGCAGGAACAAAAACAGCGACAACAAACAACCCTGCCACACTCCTGTTTGTACCAGGAAGGCGTCTGTGAGTTGACCGCTGTGGACCACTCTACAAGTCAGTCCCCCATAAGAGTTCCTGATGATGTTAGTGATTTTCTCCAGCACCCCGTAATGTCTAAGCAGCCTCCAAAGTGATGCCCTGTCCACGCTATCGAACGCCTTCTCGAAGTCAATAAAACTGATGTACAGGGATGAGTTCCACTCGAGAGACTGTTCCAGGATGATGCACAGAGTTGCGATCTGGTCTGTGCATGATCTATCTTTGCGAAAGCCAGCCTGTTGGTCTCGTAGCTGGGGGTCGACAACGTCCTTCATCCTTTCCAGTAGAATCCTATTAAAAACCTTCCCTGGGATGGATAGTAGTATAATCCCTCTATAGTTAGAACAGGAGCTCAAGTTGCCTTTCTTTGGTATCTTAATGAGATAACCCTCTTTCCATTCTGTGGGTACTTATTCTTCTTCCCAGATCTTCTTAAAAAGGGGATGGAGCATCTCTACTGTAGTCTCTGTGGCAGCCTTTAATGCCTCTGCTGGAATACTGTCGGGTCCTACTGCCTTACCGCTTTTCAATTTCATAATGGCTTTACAGATTTCTTCCTTTGTTGGTGCACTATCGTCTATTGGCAAATCTCTATCTGCTGGTTGGATATCTGGTGGGTCCTGTGGGGCTGGCCTGTTAAACAGCTCCTCAAAGTGTTTAGCCCATCTTCTCTTCTGTCCTTCATCGTCATTTATCTGTTTTCCATCCTTGTCTTTTACTGGTCTTTCTGGTTTACTAAACTTTCCAGCTAACTTTTTGGTGGTGGCATACAAGTCTTTAGTGTTTCTATTTCTGTCGGCTTCTTCTGCTTCTGCTACTAGGGTCTCTACATATTTCTTTTTATATACCTTTATACTTTTCTTGACACTCTTGTTTGCTTGTGTATATTGTTGGCTTTCTCTGCACGTGTGCGGCTGTTGTTTATTTCCGCTTTCTTCTCTTTTCTATGTTCTATTTTCTTCAAAGGGTCTTCCTAGATCCACTCCTTGTGATTGTATTTTAGTGGGCCCAAGACTTCTTGTCAGGTTTTCTTCTTCGCCTCATTTACTGTCTTCCATTTCTTGTCTACTGTTTCCTCTTCATCATCTTCTTCCATTTGTTCTTGCAGGACTTGAAATTTGTTAGCAAGTGTCATTTTAAATTCCTCCAGTTTGGTTGAATCCCTCAGAAGTGCTGTGTTGAATCTATATCTCCGATTTGACTCCCTTGTCCAATTTCCCCTAAGTTTCAGCTTTACACGGGCGACAAGGAGATGGTGGTCCGAAGCAACGTCAGCGCCTCGTCTGACATGCACTTGGAGGGACCTCCTAAATTTCTTGGTAATACATACATGGTCAATCTGATTCTCGGTGGAGCGGTCCGGTGATATCCAGGTAGCCTTGTGTATCCTTGTGTCTGTGAGGGAAGACGCTTCCTCCTATGACTAGATTTTTTACAGTGCAAATGTCAGCAAACCTCTCTCCATTTTCATTCATCTCCCCCAAGCCCTCTCGTCCCATGACCTCCTCATATCCCAAGTTGTCTTTCCCGATCTTTGCATTAAAGTCTCCCATTACCATGGTGATGTCTCTTCCTGAGTGACTGTCAATGATGGTCTGCAATCTGTTGTAAAAGCCTTCCTTATCTTCCTCGCTGTCATTTGTTGGGGCATAACACTGGATAATATTCATGTTTAGTCTTCTCTTCTTAGTTCTAAATGAAGCAGTGATGAGTCTTGGTCCATGTGCCTCCCATCCAATGAGTGCTCTCTGTGCAGTCTTGGAAAGCATGAAGGCCACTCCCTGGGTGTGTGACGCATTTTCTTCCTCATGTCCTGAGAACAGCAGTAATTCTCCTGTGGCGAGCCTTTTCTGGCCGGAGTCTATCCATCTGGTCTCACTGACGCCGAGGATGCTGATGTTATAATTCCTCATTTCCGCTGCCACCTGCGCTGTCTTTTCAGATTCGAACATGGTGCGCACATTCCATGTTCCGATGATGGTGGTGGTCCTGGTGGAAATGATGGTCTTCAGCCTGGTAGCTTCCAGTGTCTGGCTTTTACTACCCGGCCTCTCCCAGAACCGATAGGTCAGTTGAAATCCTTGTTGGCGTTCCTGTAGCAAGATCTTTTTACGGGGAGGGGTTGCTAGCCCTTCGCCCAACCCTCCTCCTTTTACATCCGGGACCGGCAATGGCAGAGTTTAGAGGCATACATACAACAACAAAAAAAAACTAATACAAAATGACAAAAATGCACATACACACAATATGGAGTGTTGCTAGATATGTTTGGGTACAAGCCCCAATATTGGTAAATATTTATATGTGAATGTGAATTGACCTGAGAATAATTTTGTATTATATATTTCAATAATCAAGTCATGTGTTCTTTCTGTCAGCTGTTTAGAAAAATAACTAGTGATACCAGATTCGTAAAGTTCAGAAATTGTTTGTGATTCAGTTTGATTCATTAGCGAGTGGTTTCTCACAGCGAAATAATAATTAGATATTTTATAAGAAAAAAAGAGTGCTGGGTGAGTTGGATATTTACCTACAATCCAATATAGAAAAAACTTGCAAATGTCTTGCAAAGAATAAAGAAATAAATAACAAAATAAGTTGGGTTGTATGTAGTTTTTTTTTTTTTTACAAAGGGCTGATTGAAAATCACAGGTAAACATTTTTGTTATTTTAAATAACCAATCTCTTAAAATGTTTTTCAGTGGAATTTCAGAAGAAACGGCACATCAGTAATCTAGAGTCATTAACATACAAGCCACGCAGGTGCTGTGCCATGCACTTTACAAATCTGCTCATGTCCTCGTTTACTTTATTTTGTTGCCCAGGGCTGGGAATGCTGCTAGTAAAATCTACTATCATTTACTAAGAAACAGCAGCATTGCTCCAGGGGCGAGCTTAATTTACAGCTTTTTGGCATATGATTTTAATTCCTATCAAATTTAAGTTACTGGGAAGTTAACACCAAAAGAAGCAACCATTCAGCAATGGTAATTCAGGAATGTTTTATGAGTTTGGAATAATATTTTAGCATTACCTGCCCTAGACACAGTTAAGTACATATAAGTACATACTGAGTTTGTGGTAATCTCAAACCACATCATTAGATAATTTGATTTTTTTTTTACATTAGTGACACTCTCATAAATTTACTAATAATAATTTATTAACACCAAACTCTAAGTTTCAGTAAATGGCTCAAAATAAATCACTTTTTAAAAAATGTTTACCTTGGTATTCTCAGGATCAGCTGGCCAGTACTGAGCTGGCACGCATAGCAGGAGAATTTGATGAAGGGGGAAGCCTGACAGAGGGACCCGGGAACAAGGGGGACGACTTGCTGGCTATGATGGATGAGCTCTAAAGGTAAGTGACTGTAGACTGTGTGTCAGGATACATGTGGTAATTCTGAAAGGTTACAGAAAAATATGGTAGGTTTGGAAATGCCTGGCATTTATACGTTCAAAACATGATTAAGAACAAGCTGGAAGCAAAATCGCATTCTAATGGGTTGTGTTTATGATTTCCTAAATGATGTGATGTTTTAAACTTTAAACTGGTTGAAAAAATGTTTGAAAAAATGTTGAAAATTAAAAATGTTGACGGTTTCTTCTGAATTCGTTTTCATAAAACACTTACTTATAATGTCAGTTTAATATGTCTTATTTGATTGACGGACAATGACTGATTTATCTTTTTATCTAGTTTCTTTGCAGCAAAATGAAAGTCAATCATTTTGAGTTCAGTGGAACAGACTGAAGGCGTTTCATTCTGCAGACAGAAAACCACACTAACATACATTCAGACAAGTGTCAACAATATCACCTTCAATATAAAGAGACTGAAATGTTGAACTGTGTTCTCAGGATAATTTATACATGTCAGATTGGGGCAAGATGTCACATGGGTTAGATTTATTTTTTATTTATTTATTGCGATTCTCTATATTATGTTTTCCAAGTCTGCACAAAACTTTTAACAAAGTACATTTTAATGTATAGCCTATGTACTGTGTACAATAATGTTTTAACATAAAAGTCTAAAATGTAAGCACATAACAAATAAGGTTGTGGGAGAAGAAAAAATATTTGATACAAATAATTAGCTACAGTTAAATCACAAGAGTAGTTTGGTATTTTTGCATGTTATCTTTAGTATTTTTACTGTTCCGATTTAGCCATTAAATAACATAATAACGTTACTGGTATGTTGCTTTTTCCAGACAGTATTTTATATATCAAAGCAATTCTCAAATCAACAGCAGATGCCCATTGTGACAACGTTCCCCGCTACAGCAGTGAACCTTTTTCTTCTTGATCAACGGCTGAAATAGCTGGCTTTCAATAATAAACTTACCCTGAGAAATCATCACTGAAAAAGGATGACACCTAGCCCTAGTTTCTCCTACGTTTAACTCGCTAGAGGGAGCGCGAGCGATTTCAATCCGGAACGTCTTGATGACGTCACTCTCCTCTGCGACAAAGCGCGGCGAAACCGTTTAGGGTGTAAACATGATGTTTTGTGCATGTTAGACAACACAAAGCAAGGTAATACAACAAATACTTTTACCTCAAGTGGAATTTATGACTGATTCTGGGTTCAAAATTAAATGATTTTGTAATTATTTCCTCTGAATGAAAACAAATCTCGCGTGCCTCAATCTGCAGTCTATGGCCTCAATAAGGACGTTAAAGATAAAGTTGCAGGAAAGCTTAATATTTGCTTTTCGTGATTCGTGACTAGTATCGTTTTCAGTGATCACTAGTGACTGTTCGTTAAACAGTACTTCGCTCGTTAGTAATATTTTTCTTGCATGTATCTAGGTAAGTTAGTTATTTAGTCTTTGCAACAAGTCACTATTTCAATATCAATAGCATATAAGTATATATATATATATATGAAATGTATCTTATGTTTGTGTTACTTTTTGTTGTATGTTTTTGTGCTTTAAAAAAGAACAAGCTGGAAGCAAAATCGCATTCTAATGGGTTGTGTTTATGATTTCCTAAATGATGTGATGTTTTAAACTTTAAACTGGTTGAAAAAATGTTTGAAAAAATGTTGAAAATTAAAAATGTTGACGGTTTCTTCTGAATTCGTTTTCATAAAACACTTACTTATAATGTCAGTTTAATATGTCTTATTTGATTGACGGACAATGACTGATTTATCTTTTTATCTAGTTTCTTTGCAGCAAAATGAAAGTCAATCATTTTGAGTTCAGTGGAACAGACTGAAGGCGTTTCATTCTGCAGACAGAAAACCACACTAACATACATTCAGACAAGTGTCAACAATATCACCTTCAATATAAAGAGACTGAAATGTTGAACTGTGTTCTCAGGATAATTTATACATGTCAGATTGGGGCAAGATGTCACATGGGTTAGATTTATTTTTTATTTATTTATTGCGATTCTCTATATTATGTTTTCCAAGTCTGCACAAAACTTTTAACAAAGTACATTTTAATGTATAGCCTATGTACTGTGTACAATAATGTTTTAACATAAAAGTCTAAAATGTAAGCACATAACAAATAAGGTTGTGGGAGAAGAAAAAATATTTGATACAAATAATTAGCTACAGTTAAATCACAAGAGTAGTTTGGTATTTTTGCATGTTATCTTTAGTATTTTTACTGTTCCGATTTAGCCATTAAATAACATAATAACGTTACTGGTATGTTGCTTTTTCCAGACAGTATTTTATATATCAAAGCAATTCTCAAATCAACAGCAGATGCCCATTGTGACAACGTTCCCCGCTACAGCAGTGAACCTTTTTCTTCTTGATCAACGGCTGAAATAGCTGGCTTTCAATAATAAACTTACCCTGAGAAATCATCACTGAAAAAGGATGACACCTAGCCCTAGTTTCTCCTACGTTTAACTCGCTAGAGGGAGCGCGAGCGATTTCAATCCGGAACGTCTTGATGACGTCACTCTCCTCTGCGACAAAGCGCGGCGAAACCGTTTAGGGTGTAAACATGATGTTTTGTGCATGTTAGACAACACAAAGCAAGGTAATACAACAAATACTTTTACCTCAAGTGGAATTTATGACTGATTCTGGGTTCAAAATTAAATGATTTTGTAATTATTTCCTCTGAATGAAAACAAATCTCGCGTGCCTCAATCTGCAGTCTATGGCCTCAATAAGGACGTTAAAGATAAAGTTGCAGGAAAGCTTAATATTTGCTTTTCGTGATTCGTGACTAGTATCGTTTTCAGTGATCACTAGTGACTGTTCGTTAAACAGTACTTCGCTCGTTAGTAATATTTTTCTTGCATGTATCTAGGTAAGTTAGTTATTTAGTCTTTGCAACAAGTCACTATTTCAATATCAATAGCATATAAGTATATATATATATATGAAATGTAACTTATGTTTGTGTTACTTTTTGTTGTATGTTTTTGTGCTTTAAAATGGCTTTAAACACTTTATTTTGTTATATAAGATAAATACATCCATATTTATCCATAAAAGTACATTTTTACTGAATTTGACATTATTGCTTTTCATTCTATATCACACCTGGTTAGACAACAAACCTATTTTGCATATTTCCCATGCAATGTTGTGGTTTGTCTATCAGCAGAGCCTCTCAGAAACCAGTAATTATCATTAATTATGTGGAAGTGTGCACATGCTCGAAAACATTTAAATAGAAACGTTGAGCAGGTAGCTAATGGTGTAATACAAATCATACAGTTATTTGGGGCTACTTTTTTATAATTAATTGGCAGAGAATCACAAGTTTGCTTTTCATCTTCTTTGGTGTCATAAAAAGAAATAAAAAAGAAAGTGGTTGGTTGTTAAATTACTCCCACTGTAAGACAGATGGCATTGTCCACATGTTAATGACTTCTCTGTGTACAGGTGAACATGGACGTGAGCCATTCCATTCGTGAACGCACCATCGCCGAGAACAGTCTGGTGATTCTTCTTCAGGGTCTGCATGGCCAGGTGACCACCGTTGACCTGCGAGACGAGAGCACGGCGAGGGGACGCGTTATTAACGTGGACGCTTTCATGAACATCCGGCTGGAGAAGGTTCTGTACAGGGACAGACGTGGACGTGTGTCCAGTATGGACGACTTGTTCATCACGGGCCGAAACGTGCGTTATGTCCACATCCCAGACCACATGAACATTATAGAGACAATAGAGACCCAGCTCGCCAAAATACACCGCGTGCGAAACTTTGGAGCAAGCGGTGGACGCAAAGAATACTCTAAGAAAAAATAGTTTTTATGAGAAACTCACGTTTGTCTTGCAAATATATGGTTTTGTAATGCGCAGTATTAATTTTCATTAAGTAATGCAGTCATGGAGCAAAATGTAATGCATAGTTTACTTTGAAAATGTTGCTAGTTGGTGACTGAAAGAGCTCTGAATATCATCTCTAGGAAAAGTGTGGGAAAAGTTATTTCTGTGTACTCTAGTGGTTTGAAAAAGCAGTAAACGGTGAAATAACCATTGATCGATGAGTTCCTTAAGTTGACATTGTGTTTGTTTAAACAACACATCGTTTTACTTTTAATATTTGTTCTGTCTCTTAATTGCAATGTCAATATCTCTCAACCACAACTATCTCTTAATCACAATAATTATGTTTATATGCAAATATTGGTACTTTACAGCCTTTATTTGTGCAATTCAAAACATTGTTTTGAGTTTAATGACTGTTAATGTTTTTTTATTGCTGAAGTTTCATAAGATCAGGATTGGTGATAATTTCAGACGATCATATAAATAATTAAGAGAACAGTCCTGGATTGGATTGGACAGTAATCTTCTAACATGACAAGCTGTTGGGGATAAAGATATTCAATTACATAGTAACTTGAACTGTATGTATAGAACAGTATAATGAGCTGTCAAATTAGTACTAATTTGTAGTAGTTCACCAAAAAATGAAAATGTGCTGAAAATGTACTCAGACCATCCAAGATGTAGATGAGTTTGTCTCTATATCATAATAGAATTGTAGAAATATAGCACTACATCACTTGCTCACCAATGGATCCTATGCAGTGAATGGGTGCCGTCAGAATGAGAGTCCAAACAGCTGATAAAAACATCACAATAATCCATCAATTAAAGTCTGCATGTCTGTAAGCGACAAATCCATCATTAAGGCCATCCCCTGTTGTCCTCTCACATCAAAATCCACCAACATATTTGTTTAGAACAGTTTTTAACTGTTTTTGCTTGTAAACGGTGCTTGATCTGTGCATATTTCTCCCCTGATTCAGATAAGAATACTTTTTTCACTGTTGAAAGCAATATTATAGATAGAGGACTTGTTTTTTAAAACGCCGGATTAAAAAGCGGATTAAAGTTAAAAACGCCTTAATAATGGCTCTGTTTCACATTTAAAATTTTGCGTGAAACATTCCTTTAACCCGAGCCTTCAGATTGGACTAACAAACAGAAGGAATTCAAATGCTTTTGTCTCCTAAATTGTCTGTTTTTGTCTCAGTTTGTGGCCAATGTGGCAAGAGATTTTACATCTTATTTTGGAGCAATATTATTTTGCTTCCAGAATGCTACATATGTTTTGGCATTGCGTATGAGGATGCAGGATTTTCAGTGACCACATAATCATCGTCCTTGCAATGACTCAAACCTCATTCATGTCCGGACACAGGAATATTCTGGTAAACAAAAAACACATTGCACAACATGAAAATTACATATGCTGCTTACGAAGAAACTTGAATCCCAATTAGAGAAAAATCATTTTTAAGGGTTTGAATGCTGGTGCATGATGTTCAAGGTGTTCAATCTCAATGGGCAATTCAGCTCAACTTGTATTTAGCTTTTTCCCAGCATGCACCTGCCGATGTGAGTATGCTGCCCACATTATGTCCTTTTATCTCCATCAGACTCAACTTATCTGAGGAGCACAGTTCACAGGTTTTCATTGGCTGTTGCTAAGCTTAGGATGCCATTCGGTTAAGAGTCGCTTCAGGTGTTTAACTCTCGTCAGACGGGAACAAAAAGAGCTCTTTTAATCCAGCCATAGCCTGAAGCGCTAGGCGCTGTGCCCACTGCAGACATTTCCTGTTCCACCCCGCAGGGTTAACCCTCAACAGACAGATCTTTCTGGCATGCTCGACGTGGCCCGTTAAACATAGTTTAAAGACTGTTTTCTGAAGGAAAAGTGAGAAGGGCTTGATCATGCAAAAAAGTATTTTAATCAACTGGTGTATTAGAGATTTTAATGTTCTCAGAAATGCAAAGTGGCACAATATTGATTCTTAATTTTGGGAGAAAAAATGAACATTTAAAATTACTAATGCATTACAAATACACTAAAACAGTAACACTGTGAAACATTATTACAGTTTAAACTAATTGTTTACTATTGTAACATTTTGTAACATAAAGTTCTTAATCTGTTTTTCATTTGAACTTTCTTTGATGAATAGAAAGTTTGAAAGAACAGCATTTATTTGAAACAGAATGATACGCATTTACTTCTGATCAATGTAATGCATCCATGTGTTAAAAATATTAGTGTCATTTATTTTATTTAAACTTTAAACAGTAGTGTGTATGAGAAAATGTAAAACTATGACACTTATTTTTGTTAAATGTTTTTGTGTTTGTGCTTTCTTTGAAATGACTAAAAATAAGTAAAGGTTTAATATTTAGTTTTATAAAGCCAAAGATATTTATTTATTAATTTAGTTAATTTTAGAGTGGCTTAAAAAATTAGAGGAAAAACAAATGTGTAAATTAACTTTTACAGATTGTAACATTTCATTCTACTTTCTAAAAACTTCATCATATGAATCATATGATTAATTATTTCATTGAGAGCCTTCGTTTTTATCAGTAACAAATAAAGACATAAATGAAGAAATAAATGTAAAAAATAGTTTTCCCCGTGCAATAAATAGTTTTTGCTTTTGTATTGGATCTTTCTAGAGTTTTTCCTCACCATTGTTGCCTTTAGCTGCTCACTGGTATTCTCTGTAAAACTGATTTGGACCTATATTTGTTGTGAAAAGCATTATATATCAATTTGAATTGAGTTTTCTGCAGGTTTATACATCTAACAGTACAGATAATGTTTAAATAATTTAGTACAACATAACATAAATACCAATTCTTTAATGTTTTTTTTTTTTAATTATCTTAATTTTCTTACAGTATAAATGGGGCTTGAATTACATAGCCTTCATGTATTACAAAAGGGGTCTTTCTCATGGGGAATGTCATATTTTTGGGTCCTTGGCATTAAAACGTTAAAAATATTTTTGAGGCCACTGTATAGTGTATAAACTACAATACTAGACCATACGTACAAACTATTTGAGCTGCTACATTTAGCACAGTGTCTGTCTAAGCTTAAAGAAAACACGGTGTATGTTTTTCTGTGGTTTACACACCCACACAACACACTCAAATATACATGTGTGGACCTGAAGAAGAGGTTTACACTGATCTGGTGACCAGCAGGCGTGAAATGTGGCCTGGATCGCACTGCCTTCCCGAGGGTGTAAATTCTAGTCTCATGTTGTTTGCCCCTCCCTGACTCTATTTTCCCCTCTGACAGGAAACCTCCCTTTGCCCAAACTGCTTTCCTATGGTCTGGTCCCAGTGAGAGAGCCGCTGTGTATGTGTGAGTACAGAGGGCTGCTGCTTCTGCTGCTTCTCCTGATGTCAGGCACAGACAAGTGTGAGTAGAGCGAGAAAGAGCGTGTGTTTGGAGCTAAAGCACCTCTCAGCGTTTTGTGTTCCCGCTTCATCTGCCAGTGTGTGAGGCCACTGCGCCTCTGGATACACGACTCAACTTGCCTCCACCAGGAGAGTCTGGATAGAAACGATGGTTCGTTAGAAAAGGTAAGACATAAAATAGTTCATTTTTGTTAAAGGAATAAAACATCAAAACTATCTTTGATTTCAGAAAATTGTTCAGATATCAGATGAATCAAAAATGTAATATGGGTGGATTAGTTTGGTTTAAAAGAGCTTGCTTGTTTCTTTTAAGCAATTGGAGATTTTTTTTCTGCCAAAAAATATAACCAGGTGAAAAATCCCACAGATTTACACTGAAGGAGTGACTCTAGTCTTATCAACCAGAAAACAAGAATATCACCATATAAACCATTTAAAATCCAGAATACCACCATATACTGCAAATCGTTTAAAAATCAGAATATCACAGAGACTTACAAGGCCGGACTCTTTTGACCCACGCAACGGCATTAAAAATGCCCTAGCAACCACCCATAACATCCTAGCAACACATTTGCAACTGCATAACAATGCCCTAGCAACCACCCACAGCAACTGTGTAGAAACAGATTAGTAACCACCTACAACACCTTAGCAACTCATTTGCAACTGCATGGCAATGCCCTACCAGCCACTCAAAACATCCTAGCAACTGCGTAAAAAACATAGCAACCACCCACAATACCACTACATTGCAAGAAAATACTAACAAATACCCACAACTTCTTAGAAACTGCATAGGAACACCCTAGCAACTACTCACAACAGCCTAGACATTGCATAACACATTAGCAATGCCCTAGCAACCACCCACAACACCCTAGCAACTGCATAGAAACAACCTAGCAACCACCCACAACACCCTAGCAACTGCATAGAAACAAACTAGCAACCACCCACAACACCCTAGCAACTGCATAGAAACAACCTAGCAACCACCCACAACACCCTAGCAACTGCATAGAAACAAACTAGCAACCACCCACAACACCCTAGCAACTGCATAGAAACAACCTAGCAACCACCCACAACACCCTAGCAACTGCATAGAAACAAACTAGCAACCACCCACAATTCCCTAGCAACTATATATTAGTGTGTTATGCAATTATTTATTTTATCAAGAAAATACTATACATTAAAAGGCAGTGACTCTTTGCAAACCAAATTTCTTACATTCTATAAATGACTGAATACTTAAACCTCTTGGAACAGACCATAAACAAAATCACTGAAAACATGCATTAAAACCCCTTTTTGTGGTCTAGCAGCTAATGTTGTTAATAATGTAACTATGGAATACCTCTTGGAAAAAAAAAAAGATGCTTTTAAAGATTGCTGATGAGAGAATATGCAGAAAAGCATGAGTTCAGCAGGTTCTGCTGCTACATGCCCTTCTGCAGGTTTGCTCTTCTGGGAAAGTCTCTGACAGGTGTCTGATGGTATGTTTGGGAACTGTCATTGACTCACGGCTGTGGGGCAGAACGCAGGTCATTTAGCCACTGTCTGGTATGCTGTGTCACTAACAGGAATATTTTTGGAACTTGTGGCATATGTCCCACGCTAATTGGTACTTAGAGCAGGACTTGACAATGTTTACAAGCTTCTAGTGTAATCTCATATTCCCGGTATCCTAATTCCTGTTTGTCTTTTGTTTATATGAGTAGAATGTAAACCACACTGGAGGGGCTTTACAGGACTGCAGAGAATAACAAAACTGAGACGACACAGGAAAAGCATTTTTTTGCATTTAAAGTATCATGAACATTTTATTGTTTAAAATATGCTCTTTGTTTAGATAAAATGTGTTAATTGATTATATAAAGTATAATTAATTAATTTTTTTTATTATTTTTATTACTATTATGTTGAATAATATTTATATGATCATTTTTATATGATCATCAAATTTGCTCATATGCTAATTTTGTTTACATGACGTATTATAATTGTTACCATTATTATAACAACAACGTTTTTAAAATTAATATTATTATAAATAATAATAATAACAGTATTAATAATAAAATTATTATTATTATTAGTGCTGTCAAACGATTAATCGCAATTAATCGCATTCAAAATAAGTTTTTGTTTACATAATATATGCATGTGCACTATGTATATTTATTATGTATATATAAATACACACACAGTATATACTTTGAAAATATTTACATGTATATACATTTATATATTTATATTATTATATTTTATATTATATATAAATATATTTAATATATAAACATAACATATTTTTCTTAAATATATATATGCATGTGTTTGTATTTATCTATACATAATAAATATACACAGTACACACACATATATTATGTAAACAAAAACTTCTTTTTTATGCGATTAATCGCGATTAATCGTTTGACAGCACTAATTATTATACAGTTATCATCATCATCACCACCACCATCATTATTATTAAATACTACTGTATGATTCTATTAAATTGAATTTTTCTTGTTTAAAATATGCTCTTTGTTTTGATAAAATTTGCTAATTGATATTAAGTATTATTATTATTA